CCCGGCATTGACCGGCCCGGCATTGACCGGCCCGGCATTGACCGGCCCGGCCTGGCGCAGCCGGGCCCCTGCAGTGTTCTGCAGCGCTCTGCAGCGCTTTGCAGTGCTCATCAGACCTGAGCAGTTGCTCTGGCTTAGCTCGGGGTGGGACCCAGGTAAGCCTCCCTGAAGGCGGGGCGAGAATGCTTGGTGACCCCTTCCTTCTGGATCACCTCCGCCTCAGCCCGCATCCGCCAGAGCAACCAGAAGATGGGAAAGGAATCGTAGGGCGAAAGATGGGGTCTGGGGAAGATGGGGCAGAGACGGAGGGTCCCTTTGGGGGAGGGGCATATGTAGCCCTAGTATCTGTGTGCATCTGGGCCTCGGACGGGCTGAACGGTTGCTCGTTTGTGTGTGTCTGTGGGAATGCGCCTGTTTGTCCACTAGAGTCAGAGCTCAGTTCTGCGCCCGCAGGTACAGGTTATGTGCTGCGTGGGTTTGGGCTTTTGGGCTTGGATGTTCGCGTCTTTGCCTTCGCCCCTGTGGGTCGGTCTGCATTTTTGTTTCTGGAGTTAATTCCTGGAGGAATTACTAAGCTTGCCTGATCTTACCTGATTGATGTCAAGACCCACCCCCTTCTCTCAGCAACGTGGATCCCAGGCCAGGGCCACCATGGCACTGCCCCCACGTCCAGCTACCTTCCCACACACAACACTGCTGCTCCTGCCAGCCTTTAAGCTCAGGTACACCCTTCTGCATCTCTTGACCAAGCACTTCTGGGGTCAATTCCCTTCCTTGTCTGCGCCTTTGGCTTGGATACCCACTTCAGGCTGCAGTCATCAGAATTGGGTTCCCCTCACCCACCTACCCAAGATCCAGCCAGTCCCTGGTGAGAGAACCCAGGTACTCCAGTCTCTCTGCCTACAGCCTCTCTGTAACTGGACCTCATCTTCCTTACAGAACAGGACCAACCCTACCCCACAATCCCCTGTTGCTTCCAGGTTGTGGGAAGTTGGTGCCACAAATCGATGGCCAGGCCTGGTGCTGAGCGGGCACTTCGGGAGAATGAATGCCATCATGTCTTCACCTGCCAAATGGCAGGGGGGCCTGGCACCCCCAGTTGGCTTTGTGTAGGTCTCAGATCTGGCTGTGATCCAGGCTCACAGCTAGGGATAGGACTCCGGATTTAAAATGTTACATTAATATAGTAAGGCACCTGCACCTAACTTATGCAAGTATGACTCAGCTTATTGTTTATTATGCAGGTGTGGCAGAATGCCACTGTTGTTCTCTGACGTATATAAAGCCATGTGGTCCCCTAGCCCAGAAGCGCGTGCTCCTCGCAATAAAGTTGGTGCCTGCCATTTCATTCTCATGATGGCTCCTCGTGCATTCTTTCAGCTGGGCATCTCACCACTGAAGCCTTCTCTTCTTGATCAGTTTGGCACTGACATGTGGCGTAGCCGGCAGGATGAGATGAGTACAGCCCCCAGCACTCTGAACCGTACCCAGGTGGAGGACATGTGGCCCCCCCACCTTCCAGTGGTATCCTATGGCCACATATCTGGCTACATGGACGTCCCTGGAAGATTGGGATGGGGTGAGGCTGTGTCCAGAGGACCTCCGGAAAGCCCTGGAGTTGCTGAAGCCAAATGGCCCGATCACTCATCAGGAGGCAGCGGGTCGGGCGGCCTGGATGTTCCTAGTGGTGCTGCAGCAGGCCAGTCTGGAGGTTCAGGAACAGGCTCAGCGGGTGCAACAATTACAACGTAAGGAAGAAGCACTGGAAAGGTGGCTGGCAGCAGTGGAACACATGCTGAAGGGCCCTGACGGGTCACTGCCATCGTCCTGGTCTGGAAGCCCGCCAGCAATACCGCGACAGGTGCAGCTGGTGATACGACAGCAGGTTGAAGTAGAGCAGCCGCTGGCCCCAGGGAGGCAAGCTGGTGACGCGCGCCCCCCCCCCACCCCGCCGCCAAGCTAAAAAGCATACCACCTTGATCCAGTACATTCCCACTGAACTCCGAGACCCGACAAAACAGGTACGGCAGAGAGCCGAGAAGATGGTTCCGGGGTGTCTGCTGCAGCTGTGGGATGACGAGGCTGAAGGGCCTGAATTATCTCCAGAATGATGGCTCAGCTGGCCTCTGTGATACCGTCCCTCAGGCAGCACCTCCAGAATGTGGCACGTATGGCGTGGGGTACAGGCTCATGTCCGCTGCACAGACAGTGTGGGCTGACCCTGGGGAGCTGCCAGAGACAGTGAACAGATGGACCACATACTTAGATCTGGTCCAGATAATTCAGGAAATGGGCATGTGAGAGATGATGTTTCGCGCCCAGAACACTAGCCCCAATGAGGAGGTATTTACAACCTGTATGAAGGACTTGATCTTGACCTCTGGCCGGGGTGGTACCTTTGGCACCATGGCAGCACTGCTGGCCACTTATGTGGATAGGCGGATCCATGAGGTAACATCTGCCATGGCAAGGTTTGGGGATGTGGAAGTGAAATGCAAGGAGCATTCCACTCAAGCGCATGCTGCACTCCCAAACCAATTAGTGCATGGACAAAGGTGTAGCCAAAGTGGGGGGCGGGGCAGCGCCCAGCTCAATAAGCCGTGAAAGTGAGCCGCAGGCAAATGTGGTTTGATCTCCTCGCAGCAGGGGTCGCTGCAGAAAAGATCGAGCAGCATCCTAATGAAGTGCTGCTGGCGCTGTGGAATCAGCTGGCCCTGACCAGCAGTTCACTCCTATTCCTGGGAAAGCCACAACCCGTGAGGTGCAGCTGGCCGATTATCTCCCTGATTAGGAATTCGGCCGCGAAACCCGGTTGGCGGCGGAGCCGGTTGACCAGAGGCCGTGTGTAGAACTGACTATACATTGGTCCCCCCGCAATGTGCAGAGAGTATTAGCCCTCGTGGACACTGGTGCTGACAACACCCTGCTCTATGGGAATCTGGACAAGTTTTCCAGGCCCACTGCAACCATAGAAGGCTATGGGGGTCGAATCATTCACATGCAGCAGGTCCCTATGACATTAGGTATTGGCAGATTGTCTCCTCGAACATACCAAGCGTACATATCCTCCATACAGGAATATATTTAGGGATTGATGTTTTGTGAGACTTGACTGTAAATACCACTGCTGGTGAATTTTGTCTTTGTATCCAGGTGGTGAAAACTATTATCCAGGAATGTCCACGCCATACCCCATTGGTGTTGCCCCAGGCTACCCAGGTGGTGAATACAAAGCAGTACTGCCTGCCAGGCAACCATGAGGAAATAGGATGCACCATTCTAAAGCTGGAAGAAGCCGGTGTCATTCATCCTACTCATAGCCCATACAACTCCCCTGTGTGGCCAGTGAAGATGGTGGCACATGACAGTCAACTATCAGAAGCTGAATAAGGTTACGCCACCCCTGCATGCTGCCATACCGAATGTCATGGACATCATGGACCAGTTGTCACATGAACTTGGACGACACCATTATGTGGTGGACTTGGCAGCTTCCTTTTTCTCTATTGCCATAGCCCCAGAAAGTCCAAAACAGTTTGCCTTCACCTGGAAAGGGCAACAGTGGACATTCCTCGTCCTTCCCCAGAGCTATCTGCACAGTCCTGCCTTGTGCCATGGTCTCGTGGCTCAAGATTTAGCCATGTGGAAACGACTGCCTGCAGTGTACTTGTATCATTATATTGATGATATAATGCTAACCTCTGATTCTCTTACAGAACTAGAAGTAGCAGTGACCAGCCTGCGAGAAGCTCTCACCAACTGGGGTTGGGCATACAATGAGGACAAGGTCCAGGGACCTGGGTTCTCTGTCAAATTCTTGGGAGTTCCCTGGTCGGGTAAGACAAAAGTAATGCCAGAGCTGGTGATTGATAAGATACAGGCGCATCCCCAACCTGAAACCATGAAGCAGCTCCAAACCTATTTGGGACAGCTGGGGTTTTGGAGAGTGTTCATTTCTCATTTAGCCTCCTTGATGTGACCCCTGCACCATCTAGTGCAACGGGGTGCCCAGTGAGATTGGACCCCCCAGATAGAAGAGGCCTTTAAGACTACAAAGCAAGTTGTAGCACAAGACCAAACTACATGTAGTAGATCCAGCCCTCCTATTCCTGCTTACAGTGCAGGTGGATGATACAGGGTTTGGATGGGGCTTGTGGCAGAAGTATGGTTCCTGGAAGGTGCCGATAGGAGCCAATAGGAAAGGTGCAGAAGCGCAGTATTCTCTGATAGAGAAGCAACTGCCTGCCATATATGTAGCCTATCTGGCCAGTGAGGCCATCACTGGCCCCAATCCCGTAACCGCGCAATCCACGTATTCGTGGAGGGGTGGCTGCAATTTTGGGTGACCACTCCCCATATGGGAATTGCACAAACCCCTACACTGAATAAGTAGGGGGCATACCTGGAGCAGTGGGCGCAGTTCTCTGCGAGCCCTGTCAGGCCAACTGCACTCCCTATTGGAACCGGTGCAGGCTCCTGGTGGAGCCTGCTGAGACAGGGACATACCAAGTCCCTATGTAGAGGGTCGGGCTCCCATCCCTGAAGATGCCTGGTATATGTCTCATGCCACGGGCAGCCCCCAACATGGGCTGCCATGGCGTTATAGCCATCCACAGAAACCTTTTGGTATGAGACCGGTGCCGGCCAATCCAGCCAATGGGCAGAGCTTCACACTGCGTGATTGGTCCTCATGAATGAAACTGGAGCAGTGCATATCTGCACTGACAGCTGAGCTGTATATTGAGGTCTAACTCTGTGGCTACCCCAGTGGGCTGCCCAGGAGTGGATGATAGGCCACCGTCCCCTATGGGGCTGGGGGTTGCGGGAAGACCTCTGGAAGCAGGGTCTGCAACAGGGGGCCACTATATATCATGTCCCCAGCCACTGGCCATTACAGGCCCCAGGCAATGATGTAGCTGATGTGCTGGCACAAGTCTGCTCTGCCTGTATACCACCGGTTCCAGCAGATATTGGCCCCTGGCTCTACTGAAAACTGGGGCATCTAGGGGCCTGTACCATGCAACAGGTAGCGAAGTGATGGGGGCTATCATTGACCCGGGCACAAGCACAAGTTGCCGTGTCACAATGCCCCTGGTGTGCTGAGCAGCACCCAGAGAGATGGCGAGTAAAGAGTACCCTGGGGGTAGTGCCCCATGGGGCTAAGCCACTCCAGGAATGACAAGTGGACTACAAAGGGCCTTTGCCCACAGACTGGGAACACCACTATGTGTTCACAGGTGTGGACACAGCTACCGGTCTAGGGCTTGCATGGCCGGTAGCAGCTGATTAATGCCATACTGTGACACCTTTGGAGCACCTTGCGGTGGCCTATGGCCAGCCTTATTAATCTCCAGTGATAGAGGCACTCATTTTACTGGACAGGAGGTGCAGACCTGGGCCCACGCCAATGATGTGCGGTGGCAGTTACATATTCCTTATCGCCCACAGGCAGCTGGAATGGTGGAGCGATTCAACGGCTTACTGATGGATAAACTGCGCACCTTGGGCCCTGGCTGGCGCCATTGGTATACTAACCTCCCACAGGCTATATGCCTTCTGAATGAGCAGCCCCAGTGAACAGGGTTGTCTCCCCTTGACAGGGTTGTAGCAGGCTTGTCCGGGCACCACTGCTAAACAGTTCTTGCCCCGAGCCTACCAAGGTGCTTTGCTCTTACCAGCCCCAGAACCTTTAGCAGCAGGTAAACAGACCACCTGGTTGTGGCCCTGAATTATACAGGTAACACAAGAGCTGTGGGTGGAGCCCTGGGAACAGGGCTTATGCAATGGGTTGCGAGTAGAAACCTGGATTTGCATTTGGGACACGCTCTTGCGAGTGTCACTTCCAATGATGGCAGAGGGTTCATTGTTAATAGGGAGTTTTGTCCTTAGCCTCTGGCCCATTCCTCTCTATACTGTGACACCAGTGGAGACCCCCTGGCCTGCTACCCTTGGAGAAACTATCTGGTATCACAGGCCAGGGGCAGCTCTTCTCCCAGCCACCCTTCTATCTCAAGATGGGCAGGTGGCCTGCGTCCTCCTGGAAGGACGGGACTTGCCCCTAATGGTCCCTTTGTCTGCTCTATCCTATCCTATCCAACAAGGAACAGTGTCATGTCCTAGGCTCATGTGTTTGCTGCTGTACACAATGTTTCCCGCTGCTGGATGTGTACTGAACTGCCAATGGAAGCGGCTGAGGGACTGCCGTGGCACATTACTCCAGCTATGACTGAGAACTGGACGTGGCTGCCCACCTGGACCACGCCTGAATGAAACCAGCTATGGCAGGCCATGGAAGCACTGCTCTGCTGCAATCATCGCAACTCCCCGCCCCTCATAGGCTATGCCATTTTCAATGGG